AAATCATGTGCCCTTGCTAACAACCATACGCACGTGTGTGACCAGCTGTTGGCCGCATCCACTCGTTCGATCAGTCTCACTCACTCGTCTTTGTGAATCACAATCCTCTTTCTCTCTCTTTCAAGACCCACTATCCTCTGCAAGATTCTCTTTGTGTAGTGTGTGTCTGTGTGTGCATGGTGAGGAGTGAACCGAGTCTCTCTCTCTCTCTAGGCATGTGCATGGGGGAGATGGCAGTCTCTCTCTCTCTCTCTCTCATCTTCTATGAATGTGCCCCATCCACTCGCTGCCTAAGCATTTACTCTCTCTTCCGATACTATATTTTGTCTTTCTGCTTTCACGCCTCTCTCTTTCATGTTAGACTCGTACTGTATGACTTGGAGATGCCCCATCCACTCCTTAATGGACCACACTCTCTCTCTCTTCTTCTGCTCTCGCTCTCTCGCTTTCCTTTAGAATGTTGTGTCTTCCTGCAAGCATTTCTTGTCGTCATGGCCACCATCGCACTCCCCCCACGATCACTCCATCGGCTAAAAAAGTAAAGACAACCCTATTTCAATGTAGTGTCGGCAAACTCCGCCGGCCGGACTTGGAACAGGTTCGTTAAAATGGAACTCAGGCATTGGTCGATTTGGTTTTGGTGGTCGGTTGGGTATTTTAATAAAATATTTTAAAAAATATAAAATTCAAATTTGTTTGTAATGTAATTTTTAATTTTTTTTTCTTTTTTTAATCGGATCGGGGGGGTTGAATCGGCTCGTACCGTTGATTTTTTCAAACATAGTTTTCTCTGAAAGTAAACAATAGATCTGTGCTTTAAAAGCCTGCTTTGTTTCCTCAAACTCATTCGTATTATAAACCGGACATGGACACACCCTAAATTAACTTAACCTAAGTCTTCATAAGCGTGTGCCCGTGTGCTTGGGACAGCACACGTGTGAAGGTTGATCGTTTTCCGCATAGTGTCTTGTCTCTAGAATGGACAGCTTAATTCACTGTTTAATGACAAAAACTGCTTTCGCTTGGTTTATGTTGGTCCACGAAATGAGTTTACTATGTTTGATGTCATTTGAAAAGTCTTTTAGTGAAGAAGAGGATAGGCATTTGAAAAGCGTTTCGATGAAAGAAAAGGATGGGCAATCAAAATTTTGAAACAATGAAATAAAAACTTTCAAGGTCAAAGGATGATTGATTTGCCCTAAATTCAAGCCAAAGGCAGCTGGAAATCTTTACAATAAGCTAAAAATCTATTTTCACCCATCGTAGTTGCGATGATCGATTATAGGGCTTCTTAAAACTTACTTTTGCAATATAAATATTGAAAACTTATATATATATTTTTATAAAATATTTATTACAAAAATGTATTGTAAAATTTGGAATAATGATGCAATTCGAATTTATGCTAGGGATATCAACTATTGAAGGTATTTTTCTACTTAGGCAATTGGTTAAGATGTTAAGGGAGAAGAGAATGGACCTTCATATGGTATTTATTGATTTAGACAAAGCATTTAACAGAGTACCTAGAAAGATAATTTGGTGGGTGCTGGAACAAAAGGAGTCTTATAAGGGTATATTGACATGGTTAAGGATATGTACGATAGAGCGCTAACTAATGTGAGGACGAGTAGGGAGATACGTGAGTTTTCAGTGGTAGTGGGCCCATATTTGAGGTTAGCGTTGAACCAATATCTCTTTACTTTGATTATAGACGAGTTAACAAGGCATCTGTAGGATGAAGTCATGTAGTGTTTATTATTTATAAATGACATAGTTTTGATTGATTAGATTAGAGACGATATAAACGCAAAGTTAGAATTTTGAAAAGATCATTTAGAATTTAAAGGTTTTAAAATTAGTTGGACTAAGACATAATATATAGAATGTAAGTTTAGTAATTATAAGAGTATAAACCGAGGAATTTGTTAAGATTGATGATCAAGAAGTACCTAAAAGATATTATTTTTGATATTTTGGGTCGATAATCCATGAAAAATGAGAGATTGAGGAAGATGCTGCTCATAAACTTAGAACACGGTGAACGAAGTGGTGATGTACTTCTGGAGCCTTATGTGTAGCATACGAATGAATCTGAAGGGGAAGTTCTATAGGACAACTGCAAGATTTACCATACTTCATAGAACAAAATGTTGAGCGATCAAGAAGTGACATATTCATAAAATGACTGTAGCTGAAAAAAGGATGTGGATTTTCAGATGTCATTTTTCCT